TTTTTGCTCTTAATTGATTTTTTGGACCCCTATAACTATTCGATAAAGAAAAAAAAGCATATTTTATTTTTTACTAATAGATAAGTTCAATTATTTACATTATTTGGACTATTGTCCTCATCTTTGTTGCCATATTTATTACAACGTTTCGGTCATCGTACGCTCCGGCCTTCTTCAGGTGGTTGGAATGTCGAACTGAACCATTTACATTGTAATATCAGGTCATCCCATAAGTTCTGTCCAAATTTTAACTTTTTGTTAAAATGAATGAAATTTAAAGAGTATTTTATAATGTCTAATAGAGCTGAACATTATTTTTATGTTTAGATGCATTTAAACTGATCAAATTTTATTTCAGAGAACAATAAAATTAAATTTTGTTTGATTAAAACCCTGCTAACATGGAAGTACCCAAGAATCATTTGAAGCACATAATGCTTTAGGAGTTCAAAAAAGGAAACTCAGCAGCTGAAGCGGCTAGAAACATTCATTCAGTTTATGGAGAGGAATGTGTGAATGAAAGAACTTGCAGAAGATGGTTTGCAAAATTCAGAGGTGGAGATTTCACCCTTGAAGATCGAACTGGATGTCCAGTTAAGTTTGATGAAAAGCTTCTTGAAGCAGCCCTTGAAGAAAATCCTGCTTTATCAGTTGAGGAATTGGCAGTGGTTCTCAGTTCAAACCATACAACTGTTCATCATCATCTTCAACAACTTGGAAAAGTTCCTAAACTTGGAAAATGGGTGCTTCATGAATTGTCTGAAAACAACCTCAATTCTTGAGTTGACATCTCTTTTCTCCATTCTCGCCAACTTGTTTCACCTTTTTTGGATAGACTTGTGACTGGCGACAAAAAATGGATCTTTTATCGAAATGTTAAGCGTCGTAGACAGTGGCTTGGTAAAGGGGAATGACCCCAGCCGAGAAGGGAACTTCATGTGCAAAAGGTTCTTCTTTCAATCTGGTGGGATCGCCAAGGAATAATCCACTTTGAATTCTTACCACCTAATGCAACAATTATTGCTCAAATATACTGTCAGCAATTAGAGCGTTTGAACTAAGCTTTGAGGAAAAAAAGACCTGCTCTAGTGAATCGAAAAGAGGTGATGTTTCATCAGGACAATGCGTGACCCCACACAGCAAGAATCACATCACAAAAGATCAAAGAACTTTGGTTGGGAGAAAATTCCTCATCCACCTTATTCTCCTGATCTTGCTCCTTCAGACTACCATTTGTTTTGTAGCTTACAGAATCATTTGGAAGAAACAGCTTTTGTAACACAGGAAGAGGTTCTGACATTTGTGAGTTCTTCGAATCAAAGCCAAAAGAATTTTACAGTAATGGGATTAGTAAGCTTGTTAATAGATGGAAGGACGTCATAGATAATCAGGGAAAATACATTGTTGATTGAATCTGTAATTAAACGTAACATTTGGTCACTTGTTTTCTTTATTCAAAATTCAGATAGAACTTATGGGATGACCTGATAAATATGGCGACAAAGATGAGGACAATAGTCCGAATAATGTAAATAACGTACATAATACCTCATCTTAGAAATAGATACAGATAAGTTCAAGAATTGCATCATTGAAATAGTATATGCTTTATTTTGAAGTAAAACAAATTTAATCAAAATAAACATAACTAAATTCTATGGAACATTTATGTAGACCAGTAAAATAATGCATAATATAAACCATTTTAAAATATGTAAGTAATTAATAAATTAAAAGAAAGTGCAGATTTATTCAATAGGATGCCTGTGGTTGATGTGATGCTGCTCTGCAAGTTTTTTTTTTTATATTCAGCTCCTTTGATGTCAATGATAGTCAATGATCACTCCTTTTCGCAATGTTGAGTGTATTACTATATTAACATTTAATATTAATATTATTATTTATTATATATATAATAAATTATAATCTATAATAGTCGCGTCTCTCTGTCTTTTTTACAAATACTTTCATGGTAATTGCTCCGAGGAGCTGCATTCACTGGTTCCCAGACTTCATGAGTTCAAACGCCCTACGAGGCTGGCATCCAGCTCTCACCCTTTCACTGTCGAAACTATTAAATGTAGCCGTCTCTTCTACTCCAATAGCTTCATATCTTGCACTTCTCGCCTGTGGAACTCCCTTCCCTATTCCAGTTTCCCTGAGAGCTATAATCAACTATTCAAATGTAATGTCAATCGACATCTCGAGTTGCCTTGATCTATCCACTATCCTTCTACTTATCCTTTCCTCTATCACTCCTATCTGATCTTGCTCCAAATCTTCTGTAACCCCTTGCATCCTAGTGGCTTCCAGCCTTGCTTAGGGTGAATTGTTTAAAAAGAAAAAAAAAAAAAATATATATATATATATATATATATATATATATAAAAATCCTTCTTTTATATATCCTCAGTTTTTATTCGATTTTTACAATCAAAACCTCCAGTAGATTAAAAGGCATGCTAACTTACATCATTTGGTCTCGTTTTCTGCTAGTTTTATAGTTGTTTTTCTATTTTTAGCATTTAATATGGCGTAGATTACTGTAGAAATTCCAGTTCTCAGTTGTAACAAGTCTTCTGAAGTGAAATTGCTCTATGGACCACTAAAATATTACCATAGACCCCCCCCCAATTTGCTATTTTCTCATGTGGACCCCAGTTGTGAACCGCTCATTGATTTACTAAGTGATGCTTAGATGTGGCACAAGGCTTAAAGTATGGGGCACCCAGTAAGGATTGAACTCACTACTCAGTCGTAATTGATCTAGCAAGACAAGCATGCTAACCATTACACCTTGTTGAAGTGGCCCAGATTTATTTATATATCATGTGATTAAACAAATAAATAATTTTAAAATATTTTAAGAGAATGCAAAATCTCATTTTCCGACCAGTGGTATGGTTATGACTAATATGTTAACTTTATATGCCATTGATAGTGGTTTCCTTTATTACTAAATGGTTTATCAATCTATCTTTGTACAAAAATTGAACATTAGCCCATATTTTGCACAAGGCCAAATTTATAGAATACTTTTCTTGTTCAGTCGGGTTTTGTGAAGTGAGTCAAGAACTTTTCAACACCTTGTGCAATTCATTGAATTTATTATGTACTTTATTTCATCTTTTTGAAATATTCTATCAGCAGCAATCATATAAAAAATAAATTCAGAATATAAATTAAATTTACTCCTGAAAAAGTTAATGGTGGTTTATTTATAAATGATAGTTTAACATACAATAAAAGGCATGACTAGAAAGTTAGAATACTGATAAAAGTGATAAAAAAAAAAGAAATTTTGAAAATTTCAGTTGAAGTGAATAATAAATAATACTGTATGCATGGGAAATTCTGAATTAATAGGCATAGATTTTAAAGAGAAGCAGCAAGTAGAAAGAGAAAAAAAACAAAACAATTTAGTACTGATCAATACAAAATACATATTTTATATTTTTTTTCTTGACCAATTGCAGCAGACTGGAAACAAGAAGTAGTTTATGAATGAACCAATCAAAAAAATTTGCCAGGAAAATGTATTTATATCTACTTTCATTCACCTGGAAGCATATATATATATATATATATATATATATATATATATATATATATATATATATATATATATGTATATATATATATATCTTGTGTCCATATGTGTGGGTAGGTCCATCAGTGTCTGCAGAATAATGATTGAAAAAAATTATTTTACACAAATATTTATTTTTCAGTGTAATCTCCTTCCTTGTTAATGCACCCAATGCTTCTCCATTAATGAATGATATAGATCAAAGTGTGAAAATTTCAGATAAAATATTATCTAATAATAGTTTCATGCTATGGACATAGCGATACGCACTCACTCTCTCTGTATATATATTTGCAGAATTGACAACTCTCCATCCATCAATCCCCAACTGGTTTCACTTATACATGCTTTTCCAAAGCAGTAAAACCTTCATGTTTAAAACTTCTATTAGACTTTTTTGCAAAATATATTTCAAGAGAAATGGTAATGGTAATATTAGCTGTTTCCTTATAACAAAACATTCAATATTCATTGGCTGAGCAGCCAGTGCTACTTTTACTTGAAATTTTAAATTTAAAACAATTATTCAGAAAAGTAAATTTCTCAAGTCTAGTAACTTTAGTTTCCAGCTTGGAAAATTTTCAGCTAATTATCAGACATTTAAACAAACAAATAGAGATTCAATTTAAGTGATCTGATGTACATAAAGTATGGGTCCAATTTAGCATTATACTGTAAATTATTATATTGTAAATTAAACCTCTTTCAAAAACAAATATACTATAAACATACTCTGGGGACCTGTTAATAACCACATAAAAAATTGGTAGTCATTAATCTGGCTGTCCTTGAGCCCAGACAGGCAGACAAAGATTTTGCAACTCTTTTATAGTAAGGTTATCTGTAATCTACAATATTATTTCACTAAATGTCGGTAGAGACTCAAAATGTATACAGCAAAAAGTATTTAAAAATTAACATAAAACAAAGTGATTTAATTAGTTTTACTATAACCAAGCATTCAGTGCTAAATTAATCAACCATACTGATTCTCTGAAATATTAAAAAGGATTTTTCTTGTGATAAAATCACCTGCTTCACTTGATACTCATGCTATCAAAAACCTTTTTGCTTTGTAAATACAGGAAACATTTTAAAAACTCACATAAAAAGAAAATTAATTTTATCTGTTCCTTCAAGCTTTGTTTAATTTTAATATTGATCTCTTGATCAATCGATTCATTTTTTATAGCTTAACTTTTGCATGTTATTTAAACCCAGATTGTAAGAATTTTTTTGAGATAATGATTTAGTGATACAAGTCTTACTAATTAACCCATAGGAAGGGAGAAGAGGTGGATTCATACTTTTTTCAAGGGTACTTGTATGTAAGTGAACAAACACAATAGAAAGTTGGCTTTCTGATTAATAATTCAGAGCCATTACCCATTGCACCACCTGCACATGGAAGCTTACAGTACCTGGTATTTCCAAGTGGTCACCCATCTAGGTACTGACCAGTCTCAACATTGCTTAACTTCAGTGATCATATAGGAACCAGTGTTTGAACATGATGTGATTGTAAGCCTTTGTTCAATTTCATGAGGTGGATATGAAGTTCTCGGCCTGAATCCTTTCTAGTATCCTGATGTTTGGTCACTGATTTTGGGAAGTCATGAACTTTTCAGCACCTCTTTATATATGTTTTTATCTTGTAGCTATTTTATACTTAACTTTGCTATACTATTATCAGATGAAACAAAAAAAAATGGCTCTTGGTAATTGAACTAAAGTTCCCTATTAAAAAGTTAAAAAAAAATCACCAGCAACAATGATTGAATTATTATAAGCTAACAACTAAGTGGATTTAATGTGTACAAATAATTATTAATGTAACTACTCTAAGTTTTAGTGCATTATTAAATGACCACTTTTCATTTGTACAAATAGAAAAAGACAAAAAGACAAGTGGATAGATTTAGAATATTGGACACTTGTATCAAATTTTGTTTAGAAAATTGGACTGCTTCATGTTCTTGATGTTAACACAAGATTTCAGCTGATCCATACTTCAGCCTTCACCAATTGTATAAACCCTATGAAAAGAGAGGAAAAATTCTTATTTCTTTTGTTTTCCTCTGTTATGGATTATACACTTTCACTTCTGCATTGTTATAGCTGTGCTGGCCTATTTAAGGGGTAAAATAGGAAATTTCCATTTACAATGACTAATAAATGACTAGAAAGTTACTAATGATGATTTCTCATAGGCACTCCCATGTTGATTCTAACTGGATGCTCTGCAGTACAGACTTAGGTAAATAAAACCCTCAGCACACAATACAATAAAAATACCTCACAAAAAAAGGTTGCATTGTAGACGACTATATATCTATGCTAGTTTGGAAATAGTACAAAGTGCTAGTTAGTTTATAATACAAATGATTGGGACCAACAATTCACAGTGTCCTGAAAATGTATATATTTGGTGAAAGCAATATAAGTCTCATAAAAAAAAAAGCACAGAAGTGCTGATGAAGGTTGAAAAAAAAAATCAAATGAAATATTCTACTTATAATGTCAACACCACTTTAAGTGTGGTACTAGATTAGGTCCCACCTGTTCACTGTTGAAAGAGCTAAATGCAACTGTCACTTCTACTCCAAAAGTTTTTTTTCTTGCAATTTGCACCTGGGAACTCCCTTCTGTTTACTTGCTTCCCTGATAACTACAATCTTCAAAAATTTAAATGCAACATCAATTGCCATCTTCTATCTTCTAGAATCCCATTCATCTTTTGTCCTTTCCGCAATCCTTCTTATACTTAGTCTTTTTTCTTACAGTCACTCCTTGTAAACCCCTGCATACTTGTGGCATTCACACATTGCATGGGGTGAAATGATTAAATAAAATAAAATTGTTCCAACAAAATTTGGAACATTAATGACCTCTTAAAATTAAAAAAAGAATTTATTATTTATCTACTAGCTTTTTATCTGAAATAGGTGTTTACTTTTATCTATTGAAATTAACAGTTTTGTGAAAGCATGGTCCTTGAACTCTTTTTCGCTTATGACAATCTTTTCCTTTTTTTAATCTGTATAAGCTTTGCTTTCTTTAAGCTAAAGACAAATATAAACAACACAATGACAGTTTTAATTGTAAGCATGGAAACCAATAAAAAAAATGTCTGGAGATGCTTTTTTCAGACTCATTATATATTCCTATCCATTGTGGCTATTAGTAAGGCTTGTCTTTTCAATATCAATCCCAGTCATCGTTTTTCTTCTGTGCCTCTTGGTTTCACTAAGTCCCTGAGTGTCATTCTCCAAACTCTTACGTTATTAAGTATTCTTTTTAGAAATTTCAACTCTTTCTGATCCTAATTATAAAAACCTTATTGTTTCCATTTTCCTTAAAAATTTCTTGTTACTCACGTTCAGGCAATGGTATTCTCATCATCTTTCTGTAGAATTACATTTGTGTTGCTTCAAATCTCTTCATCCTTGAGTAAATTGTCCAGCATTCATCAAAAAAAAAAAAAAAAAAGAACCAAGTGCAAATTTCAGTAGAGATGGTTGTTTTTTTTTTTTGGTTTTTGTTTTATTTTTTTGCACTAATACCCTCAGGAAAGGTATGGATTCACTTTGCTCTTTACTCAATCTTGTTTACAAGAATCTTAACAAAATGTCTTTTGTCTGGTTTGGTATGGTGCTACATGAAAAAGAATGGTTGAGAACTTTGGTAAACCACTCTCACATATCTTACTTACCTATCCAGATAGTAGCAGAAAAAAAGCTGTTAACTTCATAATCAATGAATTATTAATTCTAACAGTGATCGTGAAAATTTCATTTCTGATTTGAACTGTCTGATGAATTATAATTCCTAATTTACTGAGTGAATTAAGCTCCTTGTAAGAATCATGACTATAAAATACCTATAGAAATTCCACTATTACATTATTAAATATTTAAGCCTAACAACATTAACAAAATGTTGCAATAACAATCATACGTATAAATACAAGTCCTTATTTAAAGAATTTTGTTTGTTTAAAGGCATATCAACTACTTATGGGTCATTTAATGCTGAAATTTTAATTTTCTTGGGAGCATTAGTAATTTCTTTTACAAAAATGTATTGGTAACAATATACATATATATATATATATATATATATATATATATATATATATGTTTTTTATTTTTACAAAAAGATGCATTGCTGATATTTTTACTATAAAAATATATTTTTATACTTTCATAGTGTTTTGACCCTAGTTTAGGGGTTAAATATTTGCCCATAGTTGGGAACCTAACAGGGGCTACCACCCAGAGTCAGGGGAGACTTGGGAATAACGGCAATTAAGAGGTGGTTCCACACTCCTCAAAACCGCCTGATCAGAGGCTTTGTTGCCAGATGTAGTTTATCATCATACCCAGGACATATTTAAAGAATTAAGAGGGTACAAATGAAAAGATTAAAAATTGACAAATCTTTCCTTTTCACTGAAGCAAATGTTAAATAAATGAGTGTGTTATATTTACCTTCCTTTTCTTTTTTTTCTTATTATTTTGTATGCTTTCTTACAATCAAAATGGAATGGTCTATTATTTAACTGAGACAATGGCAAGACATAATGCACTTGCTAACTTAGTAACAGAGGAACAAGCAGAATTATGTGTTGACAGTGTCTATAATATTTATATTGTATATTATAACCACAGATGGCAATCAATTTGTTTTGTTCTTTGTTATTTACTGAAAATGTCTTCTGCTTTTATTAAAATTTATCTTCATGTTTTTAGATTTGCTTCTAAAAATGTTGGAAAGATTATCTTTTTATTTTAAATTTTTGTATCAGTTTTAATTCTAATGTTAGGAGAATAAAAAATGTGACAAAGAAAAAAATAAAAATAAATAATCCCAAACTGGTAAGTAGCTAAATTCTAAATAGATTTTTCATAAAATCTCTTAAGAAGATCTAAATTTGGAAACTTTTAAATTTGTTTTAATGCACCTTCCAACAGAATGGATCTGTTTAGCACTACTCCCATCTCCTGCCAAGTTCTATGATGGCAGCAACAGATTCTTGCTTTCTGACTTTTTATCTAGTGGCCTTATCTTTTATTTTTACAATAAAACAATGGTGCCACGTGTTTTGCAATTCACTCAGCCCATGAAGAACCAAAATAAAGAACATTAAAAAAAATCTAAACATGTCAGCATCTTCTTGAGTATTCTTCTGGGAAAGCCACCTAAAGATTAAACTGGATGTTCATGCCAAGTGTGGGTCTTTTTATGTGGGTGAGAAGAACATAAAAGGAAGAGGTTAAAAAGATGTGCTGAATTTTCTTTTGTACTCAAAGAGTAAGATGTTCATTGGCTATTTACAGATAATTAGTAGAAATTGATTTGATAGGAGGCAAGGCAATGGAGAAAGGCAGGAGATGAGAGGTTAATTAATTATAGACATTCAACAAACATTGTGTCTTAATTAGCCGAAGCCATTTTAACTAAGAACCACTGGTTATTAGCAGAAAAAGAAGAATCTTCATTATATCAGTTGGTTTATATTATTTGATTGGCTGACAAATGGTTACATGAAACTAATAGTCTTTAATAAGGAGAGATGAGGAGGAGGAAGAAGAAAAAGAAGAGAAGAATAAGAATAAGTTTTTTTTTCCTTGGCATAACTTTTTGACCAATAGCTTAAAAGATTAATTGTATTTAATAATACATATTTATGACTGAAGTTGAATAAAAAATATTTAATAAGTTTATTGAATAAAAAAAGGCTGCACATTCATAGTAGTGGAATATGTTTAGTCAGTTTGTACTCCGAAACAAAAGAAAATAGTATGTATTAGTATTAGGCAGTCACAGTTAATATCCAGTGTTTAAAAGAATTTGGAAGTGAAAAAATAAAAAATATACCTTAAAAGATAAAAGTTGTTGATTAAAGAAGAAGAAAAAATACCAATAAGTAAATAATACCAAATTAATAAATAATAATTAGTCAACTGTATTAATATTTCAATGTTCATTTATATCATGTGATGTGAATAGATATTAGAGTATTAAAAAATATCAACAGCATCGTTTGTTAACCAATACTGATTGCCCAGAAAAGTATATAAACTGTATTTAGGCAGCAAGAATTTACTTAAAGGTTTGTCCATTTAAGTTTATTGTATTTTTCCAATTTTCAAATAAGTTATTTGTACATTGAAATCTAAACTGTCTAAAGTTCATAATTTTGTTGTTTCCATTCAAATACTTTTAACTGTCTCATTTATTATCAAGAACTGAATGTTGTCAGTGTGGTAGACAAAATTATATTAACTACATCCTGGCATTTTTTTTTTTTTTTTGAATGCTACAATTCAAATGCATGCATATATACATATGCTTCCTGTATGTTAATGGTAAAAGCATGTCTCACTTAATAAGGTGGTTTCTCAGATGAAAAATGAAATACAAATTCAATTCCTTTTGGATGACACATTTTCTTTAAGATTTTTGATCTCTAGGCCAGTAGATATTAATTTAACTTTTAAGAAAATAGGCA